TGCCCTTCTACAAACGGATGCTGAACAAGCGACCCACTCTGAAGGACCTGGAATCCATTGATCCAGAGTTCTACAACTCCATCATCTGGACCAAGTCAGTGCCTCACGCTTGGGGGCTGTGTGGGGGCGTGACAGTGCTCCCCCTGTGGCCCCTCACGTCCTGGTGCCCTTTGCAGGGAGAACAGCCTGGAGGAGTGTGGCCTGGAGCTCTACTTCATCCAGGACATGGAGATCTTGGGCAAGGTGACCACCCATGAGCTGAAAGAGGGCGGCGAGAGCATCCGGGTGACAGAGGAGAACAAGGAGGAATACATCATGTGAGTCTGGTCCTGATGCCCCCTTGGGCACCTGGCTTCGGAGCAGCACTGGGTGGGAGCGTGGGGCTGGGGACGTGGCCCCTTCTTGGCTACGTGGCTTTGACGAGCCCGAGCTGGCGCTGCACTGCACTGCGGTCTGGCTGCCTGTGGTCTGGGTGGCTGCCAGGACTCTCAGGAAGAGGAGAGGGGAGAGAGGGTGCAACTCCTCGCCTCGTCCCACGCTGCTCGCCAGCCTGTGTATTGGGGGGCTGCTGGGGCCACCGTGGTGCTGCTGGTGATCACCCTATGGTGACTGCTTCATCCTCAGAGCCTTCTGCTGCTCCTGGGCTGGGAAGCAGTGGGAGGGAGTCGTGGAATCACAAAGGGTGAAAAAGATGATGAGAGCCCCGGTGCCACACACAGACCCCTGCCTGCTTTCGCAGGCTGCTGACGGACTGGAGGTTCACACGGGGTGTGGAGGAGCAAACCAAGGCATTCCTGGACGGCTTCAACGAAGTGGTGCCACTCGAGTGGCTGCGGTACTTTGATGAGAAGGAGCTGGAGGTGAGCAGGCCCTGCCCCAGGCAGGCCATTGTGGTGCCCGTGGGCTGTGTGAGCTCTACTCAGCCCTGACCTCTGATTTCACCCATTGGTTCAGAGGTGAGCCCGCCTGAGGCAGCAGGGGCTGCAGGGCTGCATGTTGGGTCTCTTGGTGAACACTTTTCATCTGAGGCGAGGAATTCCCTTGCTCGCTTCTGTTGCTCGAGCTTGTGCCTTGCACAGCCCCAAAGGAGTCAGTGCTGTGAAGCGTGAACATGAGGCTGTATTTCCATCCCCCTGACTGTCGTCCATCCCCAGCTGATGCTGTGCGGCATGCAGGAGATCGACATGAACGACTGGCAGAAGAACACCATCTACCGGCACTACACCAAGAACAGCAAACAGATCCAGTGGTTCTGGCAGGTGAGCCCCAGAGCCTTCATGTGCCATGCTCAGGGCCAGGCACTGCCTGAGGCTGTGGGGTGATGGGGATCCTCCTCCCTGTGCTTGCAGGTGGTGAAGGAGATGGACAACGAGAAGAGGATCCGCCTGCTGCAGTTTGTGACTGGAACGTGCCGCCTGCCTGTCGGGGGCTTCGCAGAGCTCATCGGTGTGTGGCCGTGCTAAGGTTGGGCAGGGAGGGGGATGGTGGCCATGCCTGGCTCTGGTTGCTGGGGCCGAGTGTTCGTGTTCCCATTCCAGTAGGGTAGCGATGAAGCTGCAGCAACATCTGAGTGAGGCAGTGTGCTTTGTTGCTTCGTTGGTGCTGTACTGAGAAATTCCTTTAGCATGAACTGTGCCACTTAACTTTGTCAGCCCAGTTTGTAATCTCATTTTGAATGAGATTTGAGTGGTTTTTTTGTTCTTTTTTTTGAGTATCTTTATGGTAAGGGTGATGGAGCACTGGAGTAGATTGCTCAGAGAGGTTGTAGAGTCTCCTTCTATGGAGATATTCAAGACCTGTCTGGATGCCTACCTGCGTCATCTATTGTGGGTATCCTGCTTTAGCAGGGGGTTGGACTGTACGATCTCTTGAGGTCCCTTCCAACCCCTATGATTCTGTGATTCTGTTTTTTAATTTTTTTTTTTTTTGTGCTATGAAACCCCTTTTTTGGAAAACCATAGCGTGGCATTACTCTGTGTCTGCCCTTTAATTTGCTGCTTTTTAGGCCCCCTCACAGCCTGCCCACTGTTTTCTTGGAACTGATGTGTACCAGCTCACTTAACCCATTCGGTTGTTCTTACTGCCATATCAGCCTTTTCCCAGCCCCCTGAAGCCTGTCCAGGGCTAACCATTTGTTAAAAGCAGCCTCAGTGACTCAGACCTCCTGAGCCAGGTCCCTGGAAGTGTGCAGACAGACTGCTTGGTCCTGTGGCTCTGCAGAGGATGTGCGTTTCAGTGCTCACTGCTGAGCCACCCACCTTGCACTCTGTGCTGTGTCACTGCATGCTCTGGAAAACACTGTTCTGCTTTCCCTTTGGATGCTCTCTGTAAAGGGCTCAGAGCAGGCTCTGAGTACAGCTCTGGGTTTGTGACCCCGTGGGCTGTAGCATCGTAGGGCTGAGGCATTCTGCTGGCTGTAGGGCCAGGTCAGAGTTCTTTTCCAACTCCTGACATGTAATGAGATCGGCTCTGCTCCTCATTAACAGGCAGCAACGGGCCTCAGAAATTCTGCATCGATAAAGTTGGCAAAGAGACGTGGCTGCCTCGGAGCCATACGTGGTGAGTGGCTGCTGTGTGGGGCTCATGGGGACAGCTCCTGGTGTCCCTGTGGGGCTGCGTGGGGGTCTAGCTGCCTGTATGCCCTTCTCCCGTGGGATGAAGCTGCTGGGGGGACCCGTGGGAGGGGACCCTCTGGTGGGGAGCAGGGTGGCAGCAGCACTGGGCTCCCTCCCCGCTCACAGCACCCTGTCTCACCAGCTTTAACCGCTTGGATCTGCCTCCATACAAGAGCTATGAACAGCTGAAGGAGAAGCTGCTGTATGCCATTGAGGAGACGGAAGGCTTTGGCCAGGAGTGATGGAGCCCTGCTGCTCTCCCAGGCGGTGCTCGCAGCACTGCTGCCTGTGGGATGGTGCGGGTGGTGCTGATTCTGTTCTCTTGTTCCTGTGTGAGGTCTGCACACACAGCCCTGGGGCAGTATCCACGTGTCCTTCCCAACCCAAACTGAAGTTGGGAGGGGAAAGTGGGAGCGAAAGCCCAGCCCTGCTCAGCCTGGGGCTGAGGAAGGGCCAAACCCAGCCTTGTGCACACAGTGTGCACCACAGCTCCTGTCCCTTCGCCTGGACACGGGGACATGGGTGCTGCGTGGGGCTGTGGGCTACACTCCCTGTCCCAGAGGCTGCTCCATGTTAGTGGGGTTGTCCCTGCTTGTGGGAAATGGCTGTGCACCTGGAAATGGACACAAGCAGCTTCTGACTGAGGTGCTGAAGCCAAGCCCCAAGGTTCTCTGCAGTTTATTTTGCCCCTCTCCCTGAAGCAGTACTCAGCTCTTCCCCATGTGGCACAGAGCCACTGATGGACTCCAGCCCTGACTTAAGGAGCCAGGCTGGGGCTTTTCCCAGGCATAGTTAAAGGAGATCTGGTTTAGGTGTAGGCTATCCCTCCTGTTATTTTTTCAGCCTTCCTGTGGCGTTTCAGTAGATAATTAAGGATGAGAAGTGGCTCTTGAGCTGACTCAGGTGCTCATAAAGATATATTTGTGTTTGGGCCATATCTTGCTCCCAGCAAGATACTTGGGTGTCTGCAATGGGGGCTGTAGGGTGCAGGCAGGGCTGGGCCTGGCACCATGCTCCACCTTGCTACTATGTTTTGAGGTGCCAGTGTGCAGTGCAGACCTGTGCTGTTTGGTATTTAGAGCAAGTGCTGGGAGCTGGTGCTCTGCAGCTTGTGTGAGGCTCGACCACCCCTGTGTGCTGTGCCAGGAGTTTCCAGAGCTGTGATAAGGGCAGGATCAGGCCCTGCCCACAACCCGGGGTGAAGGGCCGTGGTGTCCTGGCCGTAGCTCTAGGACAGGGCCCTGGTGAGCAAGCACTGGTGTGTGTATATCTGTACATAAATGAAATCGTGGACACAAAGCTCTGCAATAGCTTCTGACCGGTAACTGGAGCGTTTTGTACTGCACCATCCTGCCTCAGTGATGCCGATTTCTTGTGCAATAAAAGACAAGCAGCTCTCGTGGTGCGTCCCTGGCTGGTGTCACAGTGCAGGGACAGCCCCCTGCTCCCCGTGATGGGGCTGGAGGTTTGGGTGCAGGATTTCAGCAATGCTGGTCTGGCGACTGCATGGGGTACCCTACATGCTCCCATTTCAGGAGCAGGGACGGCTCTGCTCAGAGTTGGCCTCTAGGTTTGTTTCCATGAATACATACGTACATTCCATCTGTTTTTCTGTGCACACATGGAGGCACCTTCCTTGTGTTGAGGGTCTGGCTGGGCACAGCGCCTGCCTGCCTCTCTTAGCCTGTAATCATGCGTAGTTAAAAATGGCTCTGGGATGGCTGGCTGGCTGTGGTGCTGTGTGCCTACGTTTGGGTGCCATGATGAACGTGTCCTCTGTAATTAGTGGGCTGCAGGCAGGGCGGGAGGGGTGGATATGATTGGCACAGCATGGTGGCACCACCCTGATGGGGATGTGGTACCACGGGGGATTGGATGCTGTCATGCTGTGTGTGGTGCTGGGGTACCATGCTGACAGCTGTGAGGCAGCAATGGAAATCAGGCACATGAGAACAGCATCCCTGGGAATTACAGCTTTTGGTTCAAAAAAGAAAAAATCCAACACAGCAGAACTAAATAAGCCTGCTATTCACACCACCAGGGGCCAGCTAGCATCCCATCATTTTGCCTTCAGCAGCACTTGCAATGGGTTATTATTTCCTTAATAGACCATACTTGTGCTGCACTGTGGGAAACTGCTGCCAGCATGGCACAGCCCACCCCCAGAAATTCATTTGCTAGGGGCCTCCCCTGGCTGCATTGCTGCCTCCTGGCCACAGGCACTGGTACAGCTCAGCACCCACCTACAGCAACTATTCTTGTGGCGGCTTCTGCCACATTGTGTCCATCCATACAGCCGTGTTACAATGAATGCAATGAGTATCAAAGCCCCAAAAAGCAGAGCACTTCTCATTACAAAGGAAAAGAACCCAGCAGCAAAGTGACTTAGTTTACAAGATTTTTTAATTTACAAATAAAAAAACTACACATTTTACTTTTTCTCTTTTTTCTCTTCTTTCTTGACATCGCTCTTCTCCTTATCTTTCTCTTTCTCATCTTTCCTCTCCTTTTTACTCTCTTCTTTTTCCTGTCCTTCCTTCTTCTCTGCATCCCTGTTGGCAATCTTGTTGTTGATAAGGTTGTGCAGGGCAACCACCGAGCGGATAAGAGAAGCCAGGTAAACTACCACCATCTGGTCATTGGTCTTCAGGTAAAAGGCCTTGACAAATTCTTGCAGATTGACATCTGGTAGCAGGTTGAAGACATCCTGAAGGTGGTAAATGATCTGGTGGTTGATGGGTAGCTTGCCCATGGCTACTTTCTCAAGGTAGCTCCTGATGTCCAGAAGCTTGGAGTTCAGTCCCTTCAAGCCATGGACCTGATTTGTGATCCGCTGGGACAGAGTGCCCACCGTGGTGTCCTTGATGTCTCTGAAACATGGTAACAAAGATTGGACATTAGAATGTTTGCTGCATACTCATCAACAAGCTGTGAGCATTCACTAAGAGGTCTTTCCTGTTTATAAAGAACAGCATTTGCAAGAACAGATGAAGTACAACTAAACAGAGCACTTCAAGTCCAAGAATGAGATCAAACTGATTTACATTAGAAAACGTGTATAAAATAGGTCATTGTTGCACGCTTTTGTGCAGAAATGCTGTCTTTGGAAATAGTAGTGATACCACCAGTTAGAGGGATAGAAAGAAAGAAGCCAACAGGATTTCCAACAGGTGAAAAGGCTGTGCAGTTTGTATGAGGTGGCTGCTCTTTTCCTGGCTGGCAAGCTTTGCCAGTTTGCCAGCTGCAGCTCCGGCAGCCATGGTCCCACTCAGTCCTGCTCTGCGATGTATGCAGGGGCTGAGATGGTTCCAGACCACGATATTTCAAAGCTCTGAACTGATGACAATGTAGCTGTCATCATTTGATGGAGTTTCAGCGGGCAGTTACACCTTCCACTAGCAATGGCTGAACGTGCCGAGCGAGACTGCTAAGAGAACATAAGCAGCGTGTTTCACAAGCTCTGCATTTCCTCCAGGAAGCTGGCACTGGGAGATGCCAGATGGACCACGTTCCCTGCTGTGCGAGTCTCACAAGAAAGCTCTCATCTTAAAGGTGTTTACCGTAACAAGTGTTCAACACCAACTTCCTCTGCCTCCTCCGCTCCGATCTCACTAGTCACGTGCTCAAACGTCTTGGAGGTTGGAGTGCCATCCTTGGAGGTGCACAAACACAAGGACACAGGGTTAGGCTGAGCACACAGCTGACTACGGGCACAAAGAGACGGACTGGCCAGCACAAATGGCTCAGCCACAAACAGGGGGCAATGTGAACTGTGCCAAAGCAGCGTAAGATGAACTGAGTCTCATTTGCGCGACAGAACCAGGAAGAGGCAATGGGACAAATGAGGGCAGAAAAGTGTCAGGATGAAGCACACAGGCCCTCAGCAGGGAATGTAACATCACCTATGCAGAGGGCAAATGAGTGCCACGGGACGTATGTCCTTTTGAACATACAAACATCCCAACACTCATCTTTCAATGGAAACCTTTTCCTAGGAAGGCACAGAAAAGCATTAGGTGCTCACATCATGAACCTCTTCAACTGAAATATAAGCTTCTGTGGGCAGTCCCAGGTCCTTTGGTTTCACATCAATAATCACCAACACCTTATGGAAAAACAGAACAAAACATAGAATACCAGGTTTTACTCAAGGACTGGAACAAAACACCTTCACACTACAGGCTATGCAGAGGTGTTAACTCCAAGCGTTGAAATAAGACATCTACGGCTGTTTAAAATACTTTGCTGTGAGTTTTTTTCACAAGTTTTATCAACTATTACAAAAGTAGGGGCCAAGGATTCCCATGTCCACATTTAGAAAAAGAAAAACAAACAAAGCGCAGCACTTACAGAGTTTGGACAGTATCTTTTCATCAGTTCATTGATAGCAATGTCATTCTTGTGCAGTTTAGGGCCTGTGTGGTACCAACCAACTATTCTTTCTCTAGCTGAGCAAAACCAGAAAGGATTCTAAAATCAGAATTGTGTAGCAAGACAACAACAAAAGTATTTGGGTGGAGACTGAATTAGCAAACAAGCAATCTGACGCATGCAGAAAATGAATGTAAGGCAGGAGAAAATGAATCAGAGGAGGCAAAACAATTGCATGGCTAGCAATGAAGACATTTTACAGAAATAACTACTCCAAGGTTCTTAATTAAATGAGTCTATTTCATATAATGCAGTAATTCACATAACAGCCATCTGTCAACTTGCAACTCTGACATCTAAAGATACAAAAACTCTAGAAACAGGAACTGTTTCACAAATGTCTCAATCATTTTGAATTGTTGCTAGAGCAAAGAAAATTCATGGGAACTGAAGTTATGACTGAATGTCATATATAAACTGAGCTTTAATGTCTCAAATGAAGTAATGAAGAGCAATAGAATTACTGTCGAAAACATGAGTTTGTAATATTTGTAAATATTACATAATCCCCAAATATGTTCTTTTGTTCATAAAAACAGTTTCAGGGCAAATCTGCACAGAAGTTATAGAAGAGAAACATATGTAATTCTTTAGAAACAGCAGCATGTATGAAATCTAACTAATTCTGAAGATACAAAGCTATCAGACGTAGGAAAATTAATACGGTATGAACGAATGTGTTAGGAACACAAACTACTTAAACAAATTAACCCTTGGAAAACCATTAGCAAAGTGAAGCTACATAAGGAATTAGCATGGAGAGGCTTCTTACCTGGGCACATCATCTCCTGCTTAGCTATGAATGCACCTTCTCACGTGGACAAAGTTAAAAGTTTCTAGGAGTGTATCCATGCAAGGCAACCTAAACTTACCGTTGACCTTCTTAAACATTCCATACATGTTCTCCAGATAGTCGTGGTCCAGAAACCACACAGTATCATCCTTGTCGTCTTCATCAAAAGGTACTGGAAATAAAATGCCAATATTTAAGAAACCAATTTTCTGACTAAAAGTATTTGTAGAAGCACCATGTTTTAAGATCGCTCTGGCTGCTAGGGGCAATTGGATCTTAATCAGTTTCAACTGCTCTGCAATGTTGTGCTGTGAGTGCAAAACTACAGTGCAATTCTTTCTCCTAACTGCCAGCAGTTTTAAAACAGAGGAATAAAATGCAAAGTGTTCTAAAAGTTATCCTCGGTGGCCAACATCAAAGCATCAGAGGGAAACTCTCCCCTGCACAACAGTAACTGCATGGTATGCATACACATTTGATATGATAAATAGGATCCCAGCAGACTTTGCAGTTTGTTGATCAACAAAGAGCAAAAGGAGCTTTCGCCATAGGACACATTTCATCAACGCTTTTACAGACTAGTAGAACATAAAGAGGCACTTCAGGGAAGGACCGGTTACCCCTGAGTGGTAAAGGATGAGTGGTTTTATCCGCTAGCATGCATACAGGGCGCACTGCTGGTTTTGAGAACAGAGTGCTCTCAGCATTTTGATTTACAGAAATACTAAAGCTTCAAAGTTGAAAGGCCGTCATAGTAGCAAAAAAATCCCAAACTTCTTTTCAACTCAAAGGGAAAAAAAGATCTTCCAAAATTGGCAAAGAAAAACAGAAGAAAAAAAAAAGTCATCACAAGGGAGAACTCCTTACAACTGTGAAACTCCATAAATAAACTGAGATATTTCTGCTTTGTCAGAGCAGTCCCACCGGGGAGGAAATGATATAACTAACACAAGTGGGTTAGTGAGAGCCGTGCACCCAAAAATTACTCCTGATATCACATGAAGGTACGTAAGAGGAAATGGTTTCAACACCACTGAGAACATGCTTTAAGGAGGAAGGAGTGCTTTAACTGGACAAAATCTGAGAGTGACATCTTCCCATAAGCGGTTACGGCCACACGAGCACTGGGCAGAGAGGTGTTCCACAAGCTGAGACACGAGCACTCAGCAGAGGTCAGTGTGTCCAGTGCAGCAAAACATTCAGCAGTGCTTCAAAAAAAGTTTACTCCTGCTGCTGGAGCATGGCACACTGCAGTGCCGCAGGGAGGCTGCCGGGCGAGACAGGCTCCAATGGGGCACTTCAACAGCAGGCAGCTGTTTCACAGAATCACAAAGTCACGGGTGCTGGAAGGGACCTCTGGAGATCGCCCAGTCCAGCCCCTCCTAAAGCAGAGGATCCCTAGACTTTGATACAGGCCGATCCGTACAAGAGGAGGACCTGTAAGCTGGCACAGCAGCTTAGGGACAAACATACAGCACAGCCTTTAAATCACGTCCTAATGGGGGTGGACACGCAACTCACCTGCAAAGCTGTTGGACACGTCCAGGATCTTCTTCTGCCAGGAGCCCAGCAGCACGCCCACCACGCGCTTCTGGTTCCCAACCTTTCCTATTCTGAAGGGAAAACGCCGTCAGCGCCCACACGGCAGCCCGCACAGACAGCCGGGCAGCGGCGGCTGCTTCTGCCACGGGCACGCCAAGCACCCGGCGCACGGGCAGAACAGAATTAGGGGCACCGTGATTTCTGGTCGCCGACTGTTGCTTTACTCTTAAAAGAAAGGTATCCCGGTGCCCTCGTCACCAAACCTCGGAACGCGGCGGCGCTCGGCGCGAGGCTGAGCAGGGCGCTGTGCCGCAAAGCGGGGATGCAAGCAGCGCGGCTCCGAGTTGCGCCGTGCCCGCGTGAGCGGCTGCAGCACAGCTACCGGCGGCACGACGCCGCCGCTCAGAGGGTCGCGCTCGGCAGCTAAGGCACGAACTGCAGCGGGCTCCGGGCTCCCCTTCCCCCCACCGCGTCCGCAGAGCTCCCCGCACCGTGAGGGCCCGCCCGCGGCCCGCTGCCGTCCGAGCACCCTTCTTCCTCCTCCCGAGGACGGAGCCCACCCCAGCGCGCTGCGGGCTGCGCTCCCTTCGCCTCGGGGTCTCGACCCGAGCGATCGCCCGGCCCCTGCCCCCCGCAGCCCCGCGTTCCTCACACTGCGGCGCGGCTCGGGCCCGTGACTCAGCGCCGCGGCCCCACCGCCGGCCGGGCCCCACCTGTTGAAGTGATCGACGACGCTGAGCAGCACCAGCGGGTGCACCACCACGCGGTCCACCGCCAGCTCCGGCATGGCGTCCCCCGCCCGGCCCGCTCCGGCCCCGCTCCGCCGTCAGCCCACTCCCAGCCCGCCGCAGGCCGCTCCCCGCCGCCAGGCCCCGCTCCCAGCCTGCCCCGCGGCGGGGCGGGGCCGGGCCGCCATCTTGAAGAGGTCGGCGGGAGGCGGGCCCGCTCTGTGAGGGCGCCGCCATCTTGAGGAGGTGCGCGTGACGAGCGGCGAGGCGCCATCTTGGGGAAGTGGCGTCGTTCGGCGTGAGGTAAGGGGCGGGCCGGAGGGGAGGAAGATGGGCGGAGCGGGCGGGCTTTGTCTCGGGGAGGCTCTGAGGGGGTCTCCGGTGGAGGCGGGGGGGCCTTAGGGCCAGCTCTCGGCGGCTCAGTCGGGGGGGCGGTTTGGCCCGGAGCCGTGGCGGCACCTCCCGCGGGCACCGCGAGACGCGGGCTGGGCTCCCGCCTTTCCCGCCAAGCGGGCCGCTTTTACTGGAAGGCGGCTCTCATCGGGCGGGCGCTGCCCGCGGCACTCCGCGCCGTTCCCCACTGCCGTGGCGGCGTTCCTTCCCGTTCGGCCCCGATTCCGTCCCGGTCCCGGCGCCGTTCCGCTCGCAGCTCGGCACGGCCTGCGCCGGCGCTGCCCCGAGCCGCCAGGGTTCCGCGTCGCACCCCCGAGGACGCGTTCGGTGACGGTCCCTATTTCTACGCTTTCCCCACGTGCTGCTGCTCGGCGCGTTTCCCCGCCCTGCCCACGTGGCGCCGTGCAGCCCGCGCTGCCGTTCGGATCTCGGGGCGCTCCGCCGCCCCGGCCGCTCCCCGCCAGGCGCAGCCCGAGCCCGGCCCTCTCGTGGCGCTGCCCGGCGTTACGCGGCCCGGCGCCGACTTGGCGATTCGGGCGGAATTCCGGCGGAGCTGGCGGAGCTTTCTTCCAGCAGAGGGAGAGCTCTGACCGCGGAATTCCAACGCGGCCGGCGTTCCTGTAGCTTGTTTTATCAATATACATATAAAACTCACTGTTCAAATTAACTAGTTCAATAAGTAATTTAGCTCATTGATTTTTGGGCATATCCTAAGTGCCGTTACAAGCTACGGATATTTTAAATGCCATTACCTAATAAAAGGTGCTTAAAACATTCCTTCTATTGATTTTATTACTGCTTTATTTTGCTGCCTTGGTTTAAAATCATTTTAACCGCTCTGTAATCAAGAAGAAATATATCGTTGGTGAAATACAGTCAATTTCCTAAAAACCTTTGACATCGTTAAATAAGGAATTAGTTGTTAAATCATGTCGGGCAATAACCGAGGGACAGAAAAGATATAAAATTTGGAGCGGTGGGCCGGCGTACCAGTGAGCTGCTCCGACCTTTGGCATTCAGACTGTATGCGACAATCGCACTTCAATTCTGTTCTTGATTCCTACATCAGTCAGAAGAGATTTAAAATCTCAGCATGCCAGGAAGGTTGTTGAAGGATAACGGAGTACGATCTAGAGACAATTAAGGGGTGTTTTAATGACCTGCTGTGACTTTTTGTTAAAATTACTCTCTAACTTAGCGCATTTGAAGTTTCATTTGCCGGATTGCATTGCTGGTAGTTTAGCGTATTGATGTTATACACAAAAGACTAAATTGAGTCTGCTCATGGGGATTTCAGTTACTTCCCTTCCCAGCTCTTTTGACTTGAGAAGATTATCAGTATTATTGAGCTAATCAGATGGTAGATGGAGGCTGGGAATACAGGCAATATGTTGCTTAACTGAAGAATTGAAAAGTAAGTAATGAATGTTGGTGCTCAATAAAAAAAAGCTAATGAGTTGATTGCATCGATGCTTGATGTAATTTAACTGTAGAGTGGCAAACATCAATACTTATTTATGTTTTGATTCATGATTGCTGATCTGAAATTCGGAGTTTGGAGAGGTCCTGCTGTAAGCGAGCGCCTGGCGAGGGGAGGCTCCTGGAATGGGACACGCGATCGCACGTCTGTTGTTGGGCTTTTTTCTTCTTTTCAAATATAACTTTTCAGAGAATTGCCGAAAAATAGTTCAAAAGTAAGATCAATGATTAGAAATGTTGAAGGAACCTCTGGTCTTCCTGTAGTAAAGACCTTAATAACCTGAAGGGAAACGTCAGTGGCAGAGAAACCTGGTGCTGCTGGTGGAGGTGGGCATGTGCCGTGTTTCAGCAGCAATCCCACCACTGCTTGTGTAAGTTACTGCTGCTTATGACCGCGTTTCAGAATAAAGTTAATTGGCAGAAAATCTTGCAGTCTTGAATGGTACAAGAGTTCTTAATTCACTTCATTCAGAGCTCACCTTTTGCTCTTCTCTCTTCCTTGTGGTTTGCGAGATGTTGTTGGCATTCTGTACGTGCAGGTTTATGCTTATTGGTGACACAGAAGGACATCTCTGCAGGCTTTTCTAAGCTGTGAAATGTGTCTTCAAATGTGCTTTTTAATTCTGTAAAATGCCCTGTGTCACATTTGGGCCTAGGTGCTTGTTAGCATAGGGGCATGCTGGTATGTTCTCTGGGCATCTGTCAGCCATGGCTTTATGGAGTCCATGCTTGCCAGCTGTTTTCTAATTTGACTAATGCTGTCTTAACAAAGCCCCAGTAATGTGGCTAAGGGACACTTGCAGTGGCCTTATTTCTCTCCTGGTCCTTTCCACCTGCAGCTTTTGGTGCCAGAGGGCAGCGTGAATTTGTAACAGCAAGGAGAAAAAATAAATGGAGATGACTGCTATAGAATCACAAAAGTGCCTGATGGCCACATATAGGCTGGGGAAGGCACGTGTTTACAGAATGCATTTGCTTTGTGTTTCTAGGTGTTCTTTCCAGCTGTGAGAGTTAAAAACACTACTGTGCTTTAAATGAAAATACCAGCATGCTGCAGTTAGCTGCAGCTCATCAGGCCCAGGAGCGAAGCCTTGGATGGCTGTGCCCTCCCAACTTGCTGTCTGCTTTGTGAGTGTTTCCATCTTGTCTGAGAAGGGCCAGGCGCTGCTGCTGGTCCATCAGGAGCCTCACCCTGGGAAAAGTTTGGCTGAACCTTCCCCAAGCAGAGGGTTCTCTGCATACCTGAAGGGAAGAGTGCAGCTGGGGGGTGTGGGCAGGTCAGGGCGGGCTGTGCAGGAGGCAGTGACGCTTCTGCCCAACCTGCTTTTCCTCTGTGGCTTTCCAGAACCTGCCAGTGCTAAGGGATGTCCTTGGGACTGCGGCTACAAAGGATCCTCACAGCTGGGAAGTATTGGTGCCTGATGCTTTGGAGTCTCGTCCTAAATGACGCTTCTTAATGTGTGCCTTTAATTCCGGCTTTGTTTGGTTGTAAAGAAAATCCTGATGTTGTTCTCTCAAGACAGAAGGATTGGGGGAGGAGGGAAAAGCAGTGCATCCATGAGAATGTATTTTTATTGAGATGCCGTTTAAAATGTGTTTAAAATCCACTTGAGAAGTGAAGCTTTCTGTAGACCCGTCAGTAGTTCGTTGTGTAATGTCTTCATGCTACCAGCTCAAACGGGCAATATTTATTTCCTTATAAGTTTAGCTTTATCCACGTCACTGTAGTTTCCTGCAAAGATTTCCATGACCAGGCTTTGGGAGGAGTGATGCTGCCTGGAATGGAACGGGTAACGCGAGCCACTGAAGGAAAACGGAAAGCTGCCACAATATTATTAGTTCTAATTTGCTTTGGTTAAACTATAATTCAACGAAATGCTGATGCTGTAGGCTCAAAGCATGATGCCATGGAGCGTGGACTTACCCAAACTTCAGAATAAGTATCAGTTTGCTCCGATTTGGAGGTCTTCAGAAGCAATGACCACTTATTCCAAGTGTCTGTTCTAGAGCCAAATGCCTTAAAATAAACTTTTAATCTGTAACTGTAAAGTGATCTGTACAATTCTTTGCAATCTGATCTTTAAATATTTGTGTTGCAGTCATTTATTTGGCTCCTTGTGGAGCATCTACAGAAGTACATCTAGAAGGAACACTTGTGCTGCTTACTGTGGTTGATCAGCTGCAAGTATCCCAGTAGTTGCTGTTGTTGAATTTAAGACCTTTTGGCCATATCTGTGTGTTATCCACTTACAATCCTATCCTTCCACAAATAGTATCACAGTGGAATTTGGGCCAGTTACTTTTGCATGTAGAATTGGCATTTCCTGCAGTTCAAATGCTCGTAGAAGAATTGTCGACATCTAGTGCAAATTTGTGGGGAAAATCCTCCGGATTTGATGCTGTGCACTTAGAATTTCTGTGGTTCTGTCCAGAAATCAGAGGGTATAGAAATGCCAGAGATGTTTTTAACAACTAAACCACTGACTCTGATTTCTGTGTTTCAGTACTTTATTCTTCTATTTTTGCTAAGTATGTGCTTTTTTTTTTTTTTTTTTTTTTTTTTTTTTTAATTGTGGAAACAAATAGTTTAAAAAAAAAAAAAAAAAAAAAAAAAAAGCAGAACAGTTCTGGTCCTACTCATTTTTCCACACCTTGAGGACCAGCAAATTCTTTAATATGAGATTTTATTTGTACAAAGCAAAACTTCAAAACCACTCAAAAGCTTTCTTATTAACTGCTGTCAGTCCTTTGATTTACAAGGGCAATAAAGATCTGGAGGGGGCACATTTATCATGGCGCTCAGCACACCAGGAGCCATTTTCTCAAGCGGTAAAGCCAAGTGATAAAATGAGTTCTTTTGTTCTATAACCAAGACACATTCCCTGTTTTTAAAAATGTGCGTTGGACTTCTTGGCTTGTAGTTTGGCTGAGTTCCTCTGATTCTCCGTTTGTAAATGAAAAATGGCGAACATGCAGATGTTGATGATGCATCTGGAAAAAAAACAGACTTTCTGAAAGTCGACTTAGGTTTATTTGCCAGCTCTTTTTCCAGTGCAAACTCTTGTATTATTTATTTTTTCACAGCACCTTTTAGCGTAACGGGATTTTTTTGTTTTGTTTTTCAAACTGATGTGATCACAGACCTCTGCAAAGCTTGCGAAATTGCGATTAGAAAGGAATTAAAAGTCCTCTCCTGACAATGAAGAGCCATGCTCTGGAGGCGTGGTGCTACTTCACGAGTTTTTGTTACTTCATCTGTTTCTA